CTCCTTAATGGCAAACAAAAATGTACTTCTTAGAAAGTTGTCTTCTGAGACCTGTTGCCAGCAGGTGTCACCCTCACTTAAGATGTGAACTGCTTTTTGCATGGTAGAACTAAAATTTCTAGCTTGCAAAAAGTTCCTTTTTTAATATTTATTTATTATGTGTACAGTGTTTGGCTTGCATGTATGCCTGAAGGCCAGAAGAGGGCACAAAATCTCATTACAGATGGTCGTGAGCCACCATGTGGTTGCTGGGAATTGAACTCAGGTTCTTTGGAAAAGCAGGCAGTGCTCTTAACTGCTGAGCCATCTCTCCAGCCCACAGAAAGTTCTTTTATGACTGTTCTTTGTAATATGGCCCTAGATTCATTTTCCTGAAGAAGAGGATGGAAGAATGGTCTTGACATCCTGTTTTCTTGGGTTAAGAATAGAATCAGAAATTGAGATCTGAAAAAAGCATGTAGCCACATGTGGCCAATACTTCCAGAAGGCCAAAAAAATTCTGATTTAAATCCGAGAAGGTTTATCAGGACGAGGGAAAGAGGCCCAGCAGAGCAGCTCGCTCTGCTCTGAACTGCTGACTGACTGCCCCACGGATTTGCTCATCCAGACTCCCAATCCAAAGTGTTAGCACTTGAGGTAGCTGGAAACAATCCTTGAAAATTAACACATAGACCAAGCACTCAGCATGCTCACGTTACTCTACAGGGCCCTCCGTCCTTTTGCCAGTGAACATACATGTGCCAGACAGGATGCTAGTACCTGGGTGTGGAGTGCAGTGCAGAGTTTTAAGTGAGACCTGTCACCTGGGGCAGCCTGTGACCTCTCACAGCTGCTAGGCTCTTACTCTCTGTTTCTGTTTGAACCTTTAAGAAAACACATGGTTGGGGGCTGGAGAGATGGCTCGGAGGTTAAGAGCACGGGCTGTTCTTCCAGAGGTCCTGAGTTCAATTCCCAGAAACCACATGGTGGCTCACAACCACCTTGAATGCGATCTGGTGCCCTCTGCTGGCATTCAGGCAGAAGACTAAATAAATAAAATCTTTGAAAGAGAGAGAGAACACATGGTCAGTGTGATACATTTCTGAGAAACCGGCTCAGACTTTTCATTTTAAGGAGCACATTGCTACTTTTTGGATCAGTGCCGTCTAACAGTACCTCAGGGTTAGAGTGTTTGTTTAGCATGTGTGAGGCCCTGGGTTTGATCCTCAGGAGAGAGACAACAAGAGGGGAGGGAAGAAATTCCATTTAGTTCACCATGATGTCACATGCCTGTAGCTGTAGAGGTGGCCAAAGCAGAGGGACACCTGAGCCTGGGAGTGTGAGGCCAGTCTGGGTGTTTTGTTTGTTTGTTTGAGACATGGTCTCATGTAGTTGGGCTACCCTTACATTTTGCTGTAGCTGAGATAACTTTGAACTCCTGATCATTCTGCCCCCACTTACTTCCCTGTCCACGCCACCACACCTGGTCTTGAGGGTAGTCCCTGCAGTCAGCACTGAGTCAGCACATGTAGCACTCAGTAGCCACGTGTGGTTACGATTTTTACTTCCCCAGTTGTTGGTTCATTTGAGTAAGAAACCATGGGTTGTGCGTCAGTGCTCTCCTGTAGAAAAGAGACACTTGGCTCCTCCCCAGGGATTTGTTGCTCCACTCTTGGATGTTTTCATTTGGAAGGGAAATAAATGACTTCCAAGTGGCTGTGTCCAACTGACAGCTGAAGATGAAGCCAGGACTCGGGGATGGAGTAGCACTGGGGTTGTGTTTGGGCTTCAAAGAGGGGGCTGTGTGAGTGGGGTGGGGTAGTCCAGGGCAGGACTGAGAACAAGAATTTGAAGTCTGTGGGTGTGAAAGACCCAAGCAGTGGAAGGGATGGACAGTTCCTCCTGACTAACCTGGCGAGTGTGGCTCTCTTGTGCCCGGACCTCACTGCTGGGATGGGGAGAAGGAGCTATCTCTGGAGAGGAGCTGATACTCTGGAATGTGGTGTTTCCTGTGCCTTTCTCCATTAACCGCGCCACCTGCCCTTTCCATTCTGTGATGATGGACTCTTCCCGACAAAGGAG